CGTCAAGTTTGGATTTTATAAATCACAACCTTGGCGTAAAAAGTGGCGTACGCAAGTTTCTGGGCTCAAATTGTGCGTACGCCAGTTTTATAAATCTGACCCCTGGGCTCAAATTGTGCGTACGCCAGTTTTATAAATCCGACCCCTGCTGCTTTCATTTTTTTTCTTTTTACTAATGTTTTGTTGACTCACAAAACCAAAAGTCTACCTGTGTTAACAAGTTTACAAGGTACTGTGGCTTAGTTGGTTAAAGTGCCTGTCTTGTAAACAGGAGATCCTGGGTTCAAAGCCCAGCAGTACTGGAGCGCAACTAAGAATTATTTTAGCTGTTACTCCAACTTCAGTTACATCTGAGAGTTACGTATTAAAAATCCCTCATAAAGCCTATGATTAGTGATAGTTCTTAAGTCTACTAAAACCTATTAATATTWACATGCTTTCCTTGGGTACTTTGTTCAAAAAACCATCAAAGGTGCATAAATTCTCCTTCAAGTTCTGCTGCTTTGAATTTTTTTCTTTTTACTAATGCTTTGTTGACTCACAAAACATAAAGTCTACCTGTGTTAACAAGTTTGAAATGTACTGTGGCTTAGTTAGTTAAAGTGCCTGTCTTGTAACCAGGAGATCCTGGGTTCAAAGCCCAGCAGTACCTGAACGCAAGTTAAAATTATTGAAGCTGTTATTCCAACTTCAGTTAGATCAGACACTTAAGTGTTAAAAAAAGCCCTCATAAAACATATGATTAATAGCAGTTCTTAAGTCTACTAAAACCTATGAATATTACCATGCTTTCCTTGGGTACTTTTTTTTCTAAAAACCATCAAAGGTGCATTAATTGTCCTTCAAGTTCTGCAGCTCTGATTATTATTCTTCTTACTAATGCGTTGTTGACATAAAAAACCAAAAGTCTACCTGCGTATACAGTTTTTCACGGTACTGTGGCTTAGTTGGTCAAAGTGCCTGTCTAGTAAACAGGAGATCCTGGGTTCACATCCCAGCAGTACCTGATCGCAACTAAGAATTATTTTAGCTGTTACTCCAACTTCAGAAAGATTTGATACTTATGTGTAAAAAATGCCTTCATAAACCCTATGATTAATAGTAGTTCTGAAGTCTACTAAAACCTATGATTAATAGCATGCTTTCCTTGGGTACTTTTTTCCAAAAACCATCAAAGGTGCATTAATTCTCCTTCAAGTGCTATGGCTTTGATTACTAATCTTTTTCTAATGCTTTGTTGACATACAAAACAAAAAGTCTACCTGTGAATGCAGTTGAAAACGGTACTGTGGTTTAGTTAGTCAACGTGCCTGTCTAGTAAACAGGACATCCTGGG